TTCCCTGCCTTTTTTCTTTCTCACCCTCTCCTTACTCGCTGCCTGAGCAAAGCTGCAGAGCGCAAATTGAAATCGAAACCTACTGAGCAGTCTGTTGACGAGAAAAACCTGAGGAGGCGTACCATTTGCCCGAGACATTGTGGCAAGTGAAAAACACACACAGAGTGAAAACGTCTTGCAGCGACTGACATTAACTGCAAACTTGAGCCACGCAGCACAGGGACTAGCGGTAACTCTGCTGAAAATATGGTGGTCGTGGTTATCATGGTAGTAGTGTCAAAGTGAACGTAGCAAGAAAGTGGTCAACATAGCCAGAGACAGACAAAGCTAATTGTCCATCTTGCAAGTGGACAGACAACAACAACTACTACTACTACTGCTAGTGAATGATAGTCTTTCCTTCCACTTACCTTTTGCTTCCTTGACAGATGATGCAGAGTTGCTGCTGCTGCTGCTGTTGTTGCTCTTTGCTGCTGTGGCCGCCAAAGCAGCGCTGCTGTTCTTCTGGTTGTCCGCTTTTGCCTTTGACTCTTTGGCAGCGGCAGTGGCAGCAGCGCTCTTGGAACTGGGCCGAGTGGCAGTGGAAGTGGACGTCGAAGCAGTGGTGGTCGTCAACGTCAGTTGTCCTGTCGACTGCTTCTTCTCCTCAATGATTATCAGCCGAGTTTGTTGTTGTTGTTGTTGCTGCTGCTGTCCGGTCCCAGCCGCCCCCAGCGCCGTGGATGACTGTTTCTCTGTAGACAGTGCTGATCGCTCCTGCTGTTGCTGGTGGTGGTCGCTGATAAAGGCGACCACATTCTGGCCGACGACCTTCATGTTGGCAAGTGAAAGTGCCGCCGTCGATATGGGCAGGTAGATGGCCTTGTCCCCGCAAATGCTGCCATTGCTGGTGGTGGCTGCCAAGTTGCGCAGCTCGGTGATGGACGAGGTAGTGCAGTTGGAGACATCACTTCGATGCAGTATCACCGACTGCTGATGAGGCTGCGGCTGAAGTGCGCCCTCAGAGACGGTGAGAAGCTGATGAGCTCCCGATTCAGCAGAGCCAATTTTGATAATCTGTCCATCGGTTGGCTCAGTTTTTACGGCCACTGTCAGTGGCGACTTGCTGAAGACGCCAGAAAAAGAAGTGGTCGCCGCTTTAAAATCGGTTGAGTCTGCGGCCAGTCGCTGGTCCTGGTCCTTTTCGTACGTGTAAATGGTCGTCGTTGAGCTGACTAGAGGGTCTGAGGACGAGGTGAGAAAAGCGCCACTGCTCGGCGATGCTGACTGCTGCTGCTGCTGCTGCTGTTGCTGTTGCTGCTGAACCTCCTTGATGATTTGCAACTCAAGCGTCTCGAGGAGGTTCATTTGCTCAAAAGAGTTTTGAGTAATGGCATCCGAGCTGATGCTGCTAAGATCAATGGTGGTGCCTAGCTGGTGGGCAGAGCTGTTGTGGTGAATGACAGAGGTGCCTGCAGAAGAGGCAGAGCTGGCTCCTGAACCAACGTTACCGCACCCGTCCAGCTCCAAGTTGAGCCCATCAAAGAGATTGGCATCAAAGGTGACGTTTTGCAGGAGAATCGTCTCCGAGAGCGACTGCTCCACTAGACTGTCCTGTAGGTCTTGAGCCGTCAGAGTTGTCACCGGGTTGCTGGTGGGCAGCGCCTCTAGGGCCACCGAACTAGTGCCAATCTTGCTCTCCATTGACCGGTCGGTAATATCAGACACAGAGGAGGAGGAGGACATGCTCAGAATTGGCCAACAGAGGAGGACAAGGATTCATGAGGTGAAGGTGGCAAAGTTCACACCTAGTGAAAGTGCTTTTGGTGGATGGTGCACTGACAGTGTCGATATGCTTTGAGGACAGAGGTGAGCTTGAGGTGCTGCGGGTAAAGGACCTCTCTGTGGTCTACTACAGCTAGGAACATTGTTTCTTTTGCTCCTTTGCTGGCGAGAGAAGAAAGTCAGCTACAGAGCAGTGAAAGGTAAAAGAAAGTGGTAAGTGTTAGAGGACAAGGGTTTCTAGTTGTCACTGCACTGATTTTCTACTTGCCAGTGCCAGTGCAATTGAACGGTTCAATGACCTGCTCTCTTTTTGCTCACTCACTGCTTGGGCCTTTGGCCTCGCCTAGGCCTAAGGCAGAAGAGGAGAAAAGAAAGAGGAGAGGAGAAGCAATTGCAGTTGGACAGGGCAGTGCTCTAGAAGCAGTGCAAAAAATGCAAAGCTCTTTCTTGATGGTCCCGAGAAAGCAAACACAGGCTGCTGCTGCTGCTTACCTTTCAAGGAAGAGTGGCGAAAGAACAATGCTGGTAGTGGCGGTGATGCTGGCTGGCAGTGGGCGACCGGAGAACACTCACACGCAAATGGCAAATGTAGTGCTAATGGACGCACTTTTCGGTCCATTCACACTGGCAAAGCTGATGCTCGAGCGATGGTCACACCGGCTATGATTTGTACTGAACTCAACAATGATGATGCTGCTGCTAGGGCCGATCGATCAGTCTGAAGGATGATGGCAGCCGATGATGGCAGAGGTAGCAGTGGTGGCAGTGCTGCCAATATTAATGGCGGTGGTGGCCATCATCGCCACACTGTATCTTAGAATTTGCGTTCTGCACTGCTCTTCTTCACTTTGCCCTCTGTGCTCGGCTGTATTCTTGCCAAGAAATGTGTGTCTGCGTCCTTTCACTTTTTGCTGGTGTGTTGTTTGCCCTGGTGAAGCCCTCGTCTAGGAGGAGAGGAGAGAAAGTCGGAAAGGAAAGGAAGAGAGAGAATGGTGCCACAATTCGGCACAGTGACGACCCCTTCCTTCCTCCAAGACAGAACTGATGCTGCCTGCCTGCCTGGAGTGCAGCACACTGTGGCAGTGCTGCAGCTGTGTTTGGAGTGCTGGTGCACCTCTTCTTCTAGTCTTTCCCCAGTGCCGTTCCTCGGCTTTTCCTCCTCGTCGCACTCTCTCACTCACGCCCAACTTTTGTCCAACTTGGCGCCCGGGCACCAGTTTTGGCAGCCCATCAGGCCAGCAACCCTAGCCTATATAATAATGTGGACTCCATCTCTGCCGGAGAAGAAGAAGGACACTAATCTCCGGGACGCACTGCCATGCGCTGCTTCACTTTCTCTAGGTCGCATTTCGACAAACACACACAGTCTGCTCTGCTCTCCGAGTGAACGTCTCCTCAATGGGGCGACCGAGGCGGTCATTAACCCGCCACGGTTCGAGAGAGTTTGCCACAGCAACGCGGAGCAGCGCCTGCTGCTACTGCTACGGGAGCTAAAGTGCCGTTGCTGTGCTTGCTGTGTGCGGTCGAGGAGGGTGCCAACCAGTCAGAACTGCACTGCAGCCACAGAGTAGCAGCAGCAGCTTTGGTAGTACTGGTGAGCAAATCTGGCCAGGTGCTGCCATCACTCTCTTCTGGCGGCGACCATCACCTCTCACACAGAGGTCGTCGACGCGAAGGGTGGCCATACGGTGGTCACTGTTTGGTCACTGGGCTTTAGCAGCAACAGCAGCAGCAGCTTCAGTCGATCACCACGGTCAATGTCACCAGGTAATGGTCATCCAGAGGAGGAGGAGGAGGGCACTAGCCAAGCTACTGAACCGAGACGACCAAACTTGCACTTGATGATCGGTGGGTGCAATCTCATCGGACTGATCTAAATTACCGGGGCACTTTCTGCGTAGGCTGTCCAAGTCACAGTAAAACACAAAGTAATAATTTATTTATTATTATTGTAATTGACAGCGTTGATAAATTAGATTGCAATTAGAAAAAGGGGGAAGAATAGCTTTTTTGTCAACTATTAACAAGTGGCATAGTGGTGTGGAAGAGGGGTGTGAGTGTGAGTGTCGGTGATAGTAATAAATAAATAAATGAGAAGTAAGACAAGTAGTGGCACCACCATGGTTATGTGACTGTTTACAAGTATATGTACAAAGGAAGAAGGGGGAGGGGGATGTGAGGAAGAAGAGGATGGGGGAAAGCCTCGGCCTGACACTGCGACCTCTGGTAAAAACTTTTAATGGTAAATGCCGCCTGAAGAAAAAGTGAGAGGCGTCGTCAAGGACAAATAAAAACGATCAAGCGTCGACATCTTTGTGCTGGGCACCACGAGAATTGGGCACCGCAACTCGGGGGTCGCTATTGTTCATGGCGACGTACTTGAAGCGCTTCCACTCGTCTATAAGCTGCTTTTGCAAAACGCTCAAGTCTTCGCTAAGAAGTAGGTTTTCAGGAAAAGCCAAGCATGGCTTGGTCGAAACGAGCAGCTCTTTGAGCGAGGTGCTGTCAATCTGTAGATGAAAAGGAGGTTAGCTTATTGTACAAGAAACCGACTCGTCACTCTTACCTGGCGCCGATGGACTGGCTTTTCCCACGTCTTTGCGTCGCTGGTACTGTAGTCTTTAATCTTGTCGTCCTTGAGCAGGTAAAAGTCCTTGAGCAGGGTGCGCAACAGCGTCGACAGGTAGATGGCTCGCAGTGAGCGGACCAGATTGTTTAGTCGCTCATTGTTGCTGTCGGTCAGCAGCAGCTCAAAGTTGACGCGAATGTCGTACTTTTTGCGGTGCTCTTCGTTGTCAAAGTCAATCTCCTCCAGCTGGTCCTGGACCACATTTTGGCTGTATGGCAGGTTGGAGGAATCGGCAATGTAGTTGCCGTGCTCGTCCATTTGGTACTGCTGCTGGTGGTGGTGGTTGTTTTGGCTCGGATCAGCTGCCAGCTTTTCAATGATGAAAATGTCTTTGAAAAACTGCGTAATGTGCGTGGCATTGAGGGAGCTGGTGCACTCTAGCTGCGTGAGAATGTACAGCACCTCGTCGTAGACGGTGTAGGGGAAAAAGAGAATGTTTTCCACGACAAACTCTAGCTCAATCATTTCGCGCGTCTCGGCGACGGTGCTGCTGCTATTGCTGGCAAAGTCGGCACCGCCCTGGTTGGTGGGCGGCTGCTTAAAGTCGGTAATGTCGAGGTTGCGCAGCAGCGAGGTGACAAAGGCCCGTCTCGACTGGCGGTTGTTGCAAATGACCTTGTAGAGGGTGGTGAGGCGGGCGCAAATCTCTTTGGTGACGACGGGCGCCCCGGTGCTGCTGCCGTCCTCGCCGCTGGCCGCCGCATTCTTTTCCAGGTAGATGCGGTAGCCGGGAATGGCGAGTCGCTTGCAAAAGATGGCCGACAGGTAGATGGCCTCCTTGGCCTTCATGCCCACAAAGCCGTGGTACTTGCGCTCAATCTCGTGCAGCACGTGGTCGGCGCGCATGCGAATCTGCTGGTCGTCGTCGGAGGTCATGGCGACCAGGTGCGACACTAGCTGCAGCGGGTGGACGTGCCCGCCCGAGTGAATGACGTGAATGACATTGCAGGCGACGCGGCGAATCGCCAGGTTGGGGTTGAGTGCGTTGATGAGCACCGAGGAGAGGTACGTCTGGATGATTTGCGAGGCAGAGCACGAGTCGTCCTCGAGCGACTGCATCGACTTGAGCGACTCGCGCGACCACTCGATGGTCTTGACGGCATTCTCGTCCGACTCGATCGACTCGGAGAGGTAGTTGCGAAAGTTGTTGAGCACCTGGATGCAAAACATTTCGTCTTGCTTCTTTTTCACCACCGGGTTGCCGTCCGAGGCAAAGCGGTTCTGGAGGATGCTCGTGTAAATGTCGACCACCTTGGGCAGGAGGCAAATTTTCGGCTCGCTCTCGATGAGAAAGCCCAGCGCCACAATCGACTTGCACTTGATGTCGACATTGTAGGGCGAGAGAATCAGCTCGATAAAGGTATCACGCACCTGGACCTTGTGCTCGAAAATGTCGTTGCTAAAGTACTTGGCAAAGAGGCCACAGGTAAAGATGGCGCGCAGCAGCTTGGGCTTGACCGCCTCCTCCTTTTGGCCCTCGTACAGCAGCGTCTTGTACTGGTAGAGAATCTGCTGGTGCTTGACAAAGAGGTCCACCGCCAGCTTGGTGTTTTTCGTGTGGTTCTTGATGAGAATCGAGAGGCACTTGACCGAGCACTGGATAATGTTGGCCGCCGACTGCAAAATGTTTTTCGTCAGGTCCTCTTCGATGCGCGTCAGCAGGTGCGGCGAGGGGTTGGTAATGTGGGGGAGGATGCGCTCCAGCGTCTGAATGACCTTGGTGCGCACGGTAATCTCCATGATGGTCTCGCAGCTGAGCGAGAGAAAGGACTGCAGCGTGTCGCAGTGCTTGACCATGAGCTGGGGACAGCACTGCGACATCATGGCGACGCACTGGATGGCACTGAGCTGCGTGCTCTTGGGCATTTGCGGGAGATCGTCGATGAGAATGTCGGTCATGATGCAGTCGCAAATGTCCTGGGCAATGGGCATCGTGTCGGGCTTGATGAGCTGGTCAAAGAGCGACTGCATCGACTCGACGTTGCTCTGCTCGTTGAACATGGTGGCAATGACGTGCAGCAGCGAGTAGACTTTAAACTTGGACGGCGCGCTGGTGGTGGAGAACCAGAGGTCGCGACACGTGTCGACCACCAGCCGGCGAATGCCCTCGCCGTCGTCGTTGATGCGGCGCACAATTTTGGCGGCAATTTCGCCGCACTTTTCAAACTCGGGAAACTCGATGCAAAAGTCGCGCAGAATCTTGATGACGCGCTTGCGCACCGAAATGCCCGTGTCGAGGATGCGCTCGCCAATGAGGTTGCAGTAGCGCTGGCACAGCGCCTGGTCCTTGGACTGGAGGACAAAGCGCCCAATCAGGTCGACGGTGGCCTCGCGCACCGAGGTGGACGGGTCGAGGAGGGCCGACTGCATGGCGCCCTGCAGGTCGCTGCGCGCCAGCAGCTGGTTGGCCCGCTCCACGCCGCTCGAGTTGAGAATGTTGGAGAGGCACTTCATGGCCTTGGAGCGCTGCGTCGTGTTGGTCGTGTTGGAGAGCGAGGCGGTGACCATTTTGATGGCGTACTCGAAAACGCGCAGGTTGGTGCTCAGCTGCACAAACTCCATGTACTGGATGCAGAGCGCCGCCGTGCTAATGTCAATGACGGAAACGTCTTCGCTCGTCGACTTGGCCAGACGCTGCAACAGCTTGGCCTCGCGCTGCTCGTCGCCGAAAAAGGGGTCCTTGAGCCAGACCGAGGTGAGGACGAGCTTTTCCCGGTGCAGCTTTTCCGCATTGAAATAGTCGACGAGCATGTTCCACACTTTGTCGACAATCACCTGTGGACTGTCTTTGGTTTCTTGTTCCTCCTCCTCCTCTTTGACCTTGACCTTTTCCTTGTCCTTTTTCTTGTCCTTTTTGCTCCTTTTCGAGGGCGTCACCGTGGCGGCCTTTTCGCTCTCTTCAATGGTGCTCAGCGTCTTGGCCAGCTCCTTGGCCGTGTCCTCCTTGTCGGCGATAAACTGGGCAAATTTGGAGCAAATGATGGAGAGGTACTCGATGGCAAAGTTGCGCGACGAGAGGCTCGAGTTTTTCTGCTGGTTCGGACTGAGGTGCGACATGAGCAGCTTGGCGATAATTTGCACAATGAGAATGCACGAGGTCGAGTGGGGCGAGTGGAGCGACTCGAGCAGGTCATTGAGTAGCGCCTCAAAGATGAGCTTAAAGTCGACCTCGCTGCTGCCGGTGCTGTGGGTGCACTTGCGCACAAAGGGGTTGAGAAAGCTGGAAATGACCTGGGTGGCGGTGAGGTTGGCCGCGTTGAGGGCCTCGCGCGTCTGCAGAGTGTTGGTCGAGCTCTTGAGAATGGCGTCGGGCTGGAAAAAGGCATTGGTCAGGCGGACCAGCAGCTGGGTGAGCACCGAGTCTTTGCGGTGCGACTTTTTGGTGGGAATCTTTTGCAGCGAGTTGATGAGCTCCTCGAGAATGGACCGCCGATGCGACGTGTACTCTTCAAAGACGTGACACATGATTTCAATCGAGACAAACTGCATCTCGGAGGTGTTTTGCAGCAAAAAGAGGGCGCTCATGGAGATGCGCGTCAGCGAGAGAATGAGCGTGTCGGTGAGCGAGCCCTTGCTGCGGAGGTTGATGAATTCAAAGAGGAGCTGCAGCAGCTGCGTCCAGCGGGTCACTTGGCGCTTGGAGACGCCATAGTGCGAGGCGGCGTGGCTTTTTGCCTTGGGCGAGCGAGAGTTGGCTCCTGCCGAGCTGGACACGTGCGTCGTGGAGCTGAGGTTGTGCGACAAAAAGTCGACAATGACCTCTATCAGCTCCTCGAGGCTAATCAGACTGGCCTTGTCGTTGTTGGGCGTAGAGGAGGTCATGATGTGCAGGGCCGACTGGGAGGCGTTGCAGCACAGCTCCCAATAGAGCTCGCGCTCCTCGGCCTCTTCCTGGTCCTCTTCGTGGCCCTGAAAGGCGGCCTTGCTCTTGTAGCGCGTCAGCCAAATGTTTAGCTGGTTCGAGAGGGCCGTCAAAAAGAGAATGACCTTTTTGCGCTCCACCTCGGCGGCGCGGTTGCTCTGCTTGAGCTTGGCCGAGAGGACCATGATTTCCTTGAGCTGCTCCTGGCTGATGCTCACGTCAAAGGACATGCCGTTGACGTGGTTGGAGCCCTTGGCGTGCCGCCGTTTCTTTTTTGACGACCGGCGCTGCCCACTGTAGTAGTCGTCGTCGGCGTCGTCGTCGGTGTCGTCGTCGTCGTCGTAGTCTTGAAAATCATTGCACGAAGTGGAGAGAATCTCGTCGATGATTTGCTCGAACCTCACCACAATGTCGACCGACGAGTTGAGCAGCATCGAGTCGCTGTAGTCGGCGTCAAAGGAATATTTCACAGATTTTATTTGCTGGGGCTTTACGTCGTTGTAGGTGCGCCTGGGCACTGGCGGGGCCGGCGTCGACGACTGCCTCCGAACCGTGGAAGGAGTTGTTGAGTAGCTGTCGCTCTTTTGCCGCTTGTTTTGGTTTGGAAGCTGCCAATCTCGGTCCTCGTCACTTGCAATTGATTCGGACCTGACTGGCTGCTTGTGGTTTGATATGGAAACGTCGCTATTGTTGCTGCCATTGTTGGGCTGCTTCTGGTTCGAAACAAAACTATTGGGCTGCTGAAAATGTGGAAGCGTGTGAGAATTGGGCTGCTGAAGGTTGTTGGACGTGGCCAGGTTGGCCCTCGCGGCCGCCTCGCGCTGACGGCTCTTGACTCGCTCCCCGAGGGACGAGTAGTTGGCGTCAAACTGGTCTGTTCTGAGGTCATGATTGTTGCTGTTGTTGTTGCTGCTGTTGTTGTGAATCAAAGACGACATGTCACAGTCGTCGTTGATCAAGTCGTTGACGAGGTTTGGATCAAAGTCCGTCATGTGCCTGTCAATGGACGGTTCAATGGTCTGCAGATCGGCATTTAGTTCGTGGAGATTATTTGCCAAAATGTTGCCCGCACTAGTGCCATTGTGTAGCGGCTGGTGTTGGGGTTGGTGTTGGTGTTGATGTTGTGGAGTGTGTGCATGTTGTGGTGTGTGTGAATGTTGATGTTGTTGTTGTTGTGGTGGCGGTTGAGGCTGCAGTGGGCTGTAAATGGATGATGGAGACGTCGAGTTGAAAAAGGTGTCCTGAGAAGAGAGCGCGACGAGTAACCGGGATGGCGGCGCTTGTGGGGCGGGGGTGGGGGCAATGGTCGGGTCGGCGCTCGACGGCGACACAATGGGCGTCTGACAGTAGTTGGAAGCGGCTGGATTGCTGATGAAGGAAATCTCGCTCGTCTTGGCCTTTGCCAGGTACAGCGCCTGCTGCAGCTGGGGCACCAGAGAGAGGTCACTGAGGACCGGCGGGCGGTTGGTGGCGCACAGGCCGCCGGCCACCAGCGTCCGAGTGTGGGCGGACTTGTCCACGACCGGCGTCGGGAGTTTGAGTTCGGTGAGAATGTTGCAAAGGCTGTTGATGCCAGCCAGCGAGACGGACAGGGCGACAGCCGAAGAGTCGAAGGAGTTGCTCGTGTTGACCATCATCTGATGGCCTCCGCCCCCTTGAACAGGCGGGCCTGGCAAGGCGAGGCCTGCGCTGCCGATGGGATTCATATCTGCTGATCAGTGTTTCGGTTTATTGATTGAATCCGCGGCGATGGTAAAAGCGAACTAGCTTTGCTGGACCAACAACTCACTCATACACAGACTCCGTCAGCCATTTTCGAGCTAGCGGCACACGGCAGAGGCAGCGGACACCGACCACAGAGAATACAGAGGGAATACAGAGCGAAAAAAGAGAATGAGCTTGCCGAGCGGGGCGAGGATTGCCTGCATTTGTTTGAGTGAAAAGGATCTCTGAAATCTTAATGCCGAAATCGCCGCAGTGCTGCCATCTACCGGTGTAAAACGCACTTGAAACGACCAGTCAACGCGGTATTTCTGGTGTTGCTGCAGATGCAATTGCTGGATCGATCCAGGACTACCGGAACTTGAATAGAACAAATAGTAAAAGCAAAAAACAAAAATGGCGCAATTCCAGAGTGCTAAGACTACAAAAATGCCAAATAAACAAGCAGAATGAATTTTCTACTCTGACCAAATGAGGCAAAACCCCTTTTTTCCAAAAGCTTTGCATTTAAACTAAAATGACCGAAAATACTTAGAGAAGCGGCCTCCAGTGTTAGTGACGTGGTTTTGCTCACGCAAAGTTCAAAACCTCTGTAAATGCTTTATAAACTGCTCCCTCTACCATTAAAAGTCAGNGGTGACGTGGTTTTGCTCACGCAAAGTTCAAAACCTCTGTAAATGCTTTATAAACTGCTCCCTCTACCATTAAGGTGAGAGTGAGTCGAATTTTCTCATTTATTGGCTCTCGTATTATTCCTATATAAATTGTCATTTTTTTGTTAAATTCTTGATCTCAGCTTGTGGAGCAGCTAAAATTGCAGTTTTTGCTTTAAAATAAAGTTAAAGAGCTAGGCAAAAACCGTATGTGGGCTTTAAGGAGAATTCGGTATACTTTTATTTTTACAAACAAATGAACTTAAAAAAATGCAAAATTTTATGTTTTGGNTTAGACTACGTTATGCTAGTAAATCTTTCTGCGCGCCACGTTACCATCCTCTACTTTATTTTTCTCTTTTTTCCTTTTTTTTATTGCAACATAGACCAGCCAAGCTAAGGCTCAAGTAGACAATTTCCTTGATCGTCACCACCATCATCGCTAGCACCACCGTCAGCATCTGCATCGCCCTCCCCCCAAAACCCCGAACCAGGAGTTGCCGAGCAGCCAGTCTTGGCCTCCTCTTCTCCTCCACGCCCCTTACCATTAGGGTGGGCTGCCCAGCTGGAGCAAATTGCCGAAGAGCAACAAAGGCAGCGTCCAGAGCATGGAGTCCTGATGCAAATGGTTCGGGCTCTGCTGACTAGACAAAACCTGCTGGCCAAACAACTCGCCCTGGAAACACGCGTCCGTCGCCTTCGAAATAACATGGTGGCTGCAGAAGTTCGCCGTCTCGGTCGAAAGAACCAGCACCAGCGGGGACGAGGACGAGGACAAAGGCGAGGACGAGGGCGAGGGCAAGGGCGAGAACAACGTCCGTTCCACGGGTAGTTTGTCATTGCTTGAGCCATCCACCCAGATGCTGGAAATGGCGTGGCAAAAGGAAAAGGAAGACAGCAACGAGGGCGAGCTTTTTGCGGACTTTGCCCACAGGCTCGCCGCTAATCCCTGGCATGTCCCCTACCCCCATAACACCCATAGTATATATATACATTTAAATATATTTAAAAATTATTATATAACATTATAAAATAAAATTTATTCAAAAACTTTACCATTAAATTACATTTTTTCAACGTCATGAAGCATTTCATAATTTCAAAGTTTGTTTTTTGTTATATGCCAATAAACGATGCACTAAAATGTTTGTTTTGTGCACAAGTTTCCAGAGCTTAAAGCAAACATTTGTCAGCTTATTTGTTTTACATTTTCAAAATTTAGCTAGATCGCCTGTTGCCACTGTGCAATGTCAAGCGCAGTATACTGTGAGAATATTGTCATTTTCAGTCATTTTGGTCAGTAAACTTCTCTTGAGCATTTTTGGTGCTATTAGGTTTTTCAAACCCGGGAAAACACTTTTGAGTGCAGCCAAATCTTTGCTAGCCCGTCTAGGCGTTTGTTTGCAAAAAAAGTAATAGGAACGTTTTGAAT